TAGCATCCAATACATGCACACATGCCTCGCCACACAGCATAGCCATCAGAAACTGCGGGAGAAAGGCGCAAGACGAATCCAAATCTAGTGGGTAACATTTCAAAGGCGATGGTATAAAAACGCAGTGCAATCAAGAACAAGCTTGGCGCATTTACAACGCACCCAGCTCCTTAAGCTTGGAGACAAGGCCATCGACATCCTCGACCTTGCCACCACCCTTTCGTGGCGGGGGTTCTACAGAACATTAGCTCAATCCCACGAACGAAATAGCAGAACCACCAAAACCACATACCAGTAACCTTCAGAGTCTTCAACCGCCGTGTATCTTCGACACCGAGATCGGCAAGAGTCTTCTTCTCAAGGGGCTTCTTCTTGGCCTTCATAATGTTGGGCAAACTAGCGTACCGCGGCTCGTTCAACCGCAGATCCGTAGTGATAACCATAGGCAGCTTGGCGCGGAGAGTCTCGACACCACCGTCGACCTCGTGGGTAATCTCGACAGTACCAGCATCATCCTTAATGTCAACTTTGCTGGCCTGCGTAGCCTGGGGCCACCCAAGTAGACCAGCGAGCATCTGACCAGTCTGCCCCTGGTCACCGTCAATAGCCTGCTTACCCAGCAGCACAAGGTTCACATTCTGCTCCTTAACGACGGCCTGCAGCATCTTGGCGATGGTCAGCGGCTCCGGGCCGCCGTCGCCCTTGTCCGGTACGTCAATGTGGAAGGCTCGATCAGCGCCCATGGCCATGGCGGTGCGGAGGACATCAGGGCATTTCGGGCCGCCGGCGGAAAGTGCGAGGATGTCTTCGACTTTAATGGGGCCCTTGCGCTCACGGAGGCGGACAGCCTCTTCGATTGAGAGCTCGTCAAATGGGTTCAGGGAATGCTTCACACCAGTAGTTTCGACACCAGTCTGGGCTTTGTTGATGCGGGGTTTGATCTGTTGGGTTCAGATCTGGGTGTCAGTCGTGATATCCCAATCCAAGAGTGAGTGGTGGACAGTCTCCATGACCCTGTTGGTTGAGATCCAGCTCCGAGCATCGGTCGCCCGGAGCTGCACTTGGAAGGGCCATGGTGAATGGGCACTTGACTTACCGCATAGTCGATCACGCGCTTGACGGGCACCAATATCCTTAGGCCGCTCATCTTGTGTAATCAGTAGTCGAGCAACGACCAATTCCTGAGTTGATGTAAGGAAGTTTTGAGGCTCGGAGGGAGAAAGCGTGCGGTGACGGAGTGCCAAGAAATCAAAAACGCCGACGCGGCCCGAGTTTAACCCTCGTTAGCACCACTGACTCCTCCATAGCACCGTAAGCATTTGCGGCCATCGTAGCAACAGGCGCTTGGGATCGGAGCATCAATGCCGTGTGAGTTTTACAGGTATTCAGCATCCTTCTGATAACTGCGTTGCTAAAGATTGACTTTTGTTGTAAGTGCAGCTCCAAGTTGTCTATCCTACCACATTTAGCTCACTTTTGCATGTGTATTACCGGTTGACAATCCCTTCCTCTATACACATCACCATTCATGATACATTTTATCGTACACTTTCTCGCCTGCTAGACCATGACAACCAATGTGCTTATCTCCGGAGCAGATAGGATAACAAGGGCTTACAGCACTGGAGCACTGAAGCAAGTTGTAGCATGTCGCGTGCCCGACTAGATATATTCAACCCTTTTTTTCATAACCAGATAGACCGTGTCAAAATAAACAACAGGACTTCGAGACAAAATTCCTCTTTAGAAACAGTGAGGGAAACGAGAACGACACACGGATAGCCCCATGGAAAAAGAACAAGACGGCAAATAGTTATAGAAGTGATATGAGGTTGCTGATGGCCGCAATTCTTCGCCGTAGCCACACCACCGAACCTGCCGAGGTTAACCATGCAGCCTACATATTGTGATAATGAATATTGTTTTGCATTTGACGAGACTGAGAAGAATACCCAACTGTAATTTGTTGACTTCGTCATAAACTATATAGTATGTTGTCTCTAAGGTCTAGCCCTAATATATATCTTTCCTGTAGTTCTCTAGTGAGCTACCAGCCGAGTTGATTACTCGCCAAGTTGCACGGTGATTTCATTCGACAGCTTCGCCGCCCTCTCCATTATATAAATAATGTCCCCCGAGGCTAGTTCCTCCTTACGCTACACAAAAGATTGGGATGACCTAAAAAAGAGGGGAAAACGATGCCCGCAAACGGAATTGATTCCGAGAAGAGTCCAGGATGCATCAATACCAAGGCCTCGTGGTGAGTAGGACAAAAAGTAGGGAGCTGACCCCATATAATCATGGCCTAGCTATATACATAGGAAACAATTTTGCCATGATATACATGCGGCCTTTGAAAGTTGTAGACGGAGGCATTTTTAAGATAATGGACTTTACCTTATAATAAACTTAAGAACCTGAGGTGTCCACGCTCGTCTAACCCCTGAAATTGGATTGCGTCGTAGATGGCGACCTTCCTAGGGTCCCCAACTCTGCTGATATGTACATATAGATGGAAAATGTCTCATATTCAGCTGTGGTGAAAGCTAAGTATTGACACCAATCACCAAGTTTCTTGTTTGTAACGGCCAGTTTGCTCCATGCCAATGAGATACCCCTCGGCCTGGGAACGGGTGAAAGGCTGCCCTGGTAAAGGAGCTCCTCCATGTTGGAAGGCTTCGATGAGAGCCTCGCGCACAGCTTGAGGCATGCGACCCGAGGAACCACAAATATAAACCGACCCCTGCATATCATGCAACATACGGAAGAAGAGCGGGAAGTTCTCGCGCACGATATCTTGCACATAGATCTTGCGCTGCTGATCACGTGAAAAAGCAGTAAGTACCTGCAGCGGGATGAGCTTGCTAAGTTCCGTCCACTCTTCCTTGAAGAAGAAGTCGGATTCTCGGTTTCGGCCTCCGTACATGAGGATAGTAGGGCCGATTGGTGGATTGACGCCAGGGTTTTGCTCGCGGTAAGCCTTCACAAGTGCCGCTTTCTCCCAGAGCATGGAGCGCAGGGGTGCAATTCCAGTGCCCGGTCCAATGAGCACGGTTGCTGCGGTCAGTTGCTGGACTGAGGACTTCAGACCGCCGGGCTGGAGCTGGACTTGAAGGGTGCTACCTGGCCGGAGGACCGATAAATATTTGGTACAGACTCCCTCGCGGATTCTCTTGATCACTGTCTGGTATTTGACAATGGCAATGAGCAGTTCGAATTGCGTATTACCATCAGCAGTCTGCTTGCGTTTTCCGCCGCTGGCAATGCTGAATTGGCGGGCGCGCATGGCAGGGAGAACAGATATAGCGTGTTCCCAGGGAATTTTGACAGTGTCGAACTCATGCAGGATCTCAAGTATACTACGTCGTGGGCGTGTCGTGTAATCCCATAGCTCGTCGAGATATTCGGGATTTGTAAACTCTAGTAATCGTTCTTTGTGCATTTCATCGTTAGTGTAGTGTGCGATTGCAGAGAAGAAGGATCGGCGGGGTATCCCTTTGACATCGACATAGTCTATGAGGAGGGCACGGAGGGTGAGGTTGGGATATGAGTCGAGGCCTGGAAGTGGTGGTGGCGATGGAATATCTCCTGTTGAAACGAGACGGATCGGTCGATCTGCCTGATCGTTCCAACCCATCAAGTCAATGAGGGTTTGGACATCAATCGAAGAGCTTTTCGGTGTGATGGCGATCATGTCTCCCGGAAGGTAAGAGACAAAGTCTGGAACGGTTAAGGTAATCTGGCGCACATCCTGCCAATGCTTTTGCGGAGTCACACGCCGATTTTCAGTCAATGTCGCACATAGAGTATGCGGAATGGGTCGGCAGTCATAGTCTAGATGGTGTAGTCCCGGATATTCACCCGTAGAAGGTTGATGTTCATTTAGTACGGCAGCTCGGGGTATTGGGACAGAATCGTTTCCCCCTGCCAATTCCAACTTCCATTTTGGTGGGAGTTGCACATCGTCTGGGATCGGGTGCTGCCCAGCAGGAAGAGGATGTCTATCCAGCAAATGTTTTCGAAAATCCGTCATCCATGGTAGGAGGGTTCCCTCGAGTCTGTGTGTCAAGCCATGTAAGTCGCGAGCAGATATCCAACGTCAGTTTAAAAAAACCTACCCTTCTGGATGTTGCTGGTCTGCTTCGCCTGTGGGATAGATCTCATTTGCACCAAGTTGTAGTAGTCGTTTATAGAGCTTGCGTATCGCCCAATTGAATCTATCACAATCAGCCATTGAAACCACGACAGTAGAATACCTTCTTACTTAGGATACGAGCTATCTCCCAGCCCAAAACAAGTGAAATTTATACCTTTCAAAAAGGTAGCAGGTAGCTTCTTCAGCAAGAGCGACTTCCAAAAAGACCGCGCATTGACCGGCAAATCGCCTTGGCCGGTGGTCGAGGCCACAAATATGGTGAGTGTGTATGAGAAAAGTGATTCCTATGATTCCATTGGCATTAGGCCTCTAGAGGGTCATTGTCCTTACAGAGAAGTGCGTACCGGCTTGCATTGATTCAACTCAGATACATGTGTCGCAAAACGGAGCCGCTCAGTCAAGGCGCCCAATTCTTCGGCCACTTCCTGCGCATTTCCCGTCTCAGAGCCATATAAAATGAGCACGGACCGTTCTAAGGGACGTGGACTTTGGGTGTCGCCCATTCTGGCGCTGGTGTGGAAGTGTCTGAACAGTTCTTGCTGTGCCCCTCCGAAAATCGGCTGACGTCACCCAAAGACCAATCAATCCTATCGAATACCCACCGCCCTATCTACCGCCTACCTGAGTTGGTTATAGGAGGATAGGCGTTGAGGAGGATAATCTAATTCTGTGCTTATATTGGGTTGAAAAAGTAGGTCCCCGAAGTGTGGATGAAACCATAGATAGGTGGTATATGCTTTTCATAGTTGAACAAGCGCTCCAATGGAGGTGGTGCGCTCGTTTCACTTGGAGTATATATAGTAAGGCTAAATTGAAAGAATAAAGGGTATCGTCAATCTGCTTTTCAGAATTCATCATCGCCGCCGCCGCCCCCACCGTCTTCATCGCCAATATCATCTTCTCCGTCGTCGAAGTACTGTTCAGCGTTGTAATCGCCGCCCATCTCATCATCATCTTCCGAGAAGTCATCATCCATAATTTCCTCTTCCTGCTCATCATCCCCATCAAGCAATGCGGCTTCATCCACATCTACGTCGCCTTCATCCTCGTCTTCGCCGCCGGCTGTGCGCTTTGCAGGTCCAGCTTCGTCTTCTTCGTCTTCGAAACCGCGCTTCACTCCGGCGGCTGAAGCCTGGGCTTGGTAGCCATCCATGGACGTGTCGGGTCGGAAGTTTGGCTGGAGTGTTTGCCATAGCTCGCGGGGGAAGAATTTCAAGACTGGACCGTTCAAGCATGCGGAGTCAGTCATCTGCATAGAAAAGACAACCCTAACAGAAAAGAACTTACAATAAGGTCGTCCGGTGATCTTGGGGAGAGTGCGCCGTTTCTTTTGATAACGGCCGGAATAAGTGGGCATGCCATGGAAAGCGTCAAAGTTGGCACGTGCGGCGCTGCCCTTTTTGGCGTTGGAAGATGATGCATCAAGAACGGAGTAGAAGGGGCCCTCGTGAAAGCTTTCACGCAACCCTCGGTAGTAATCTACCTGGGTTTGTTCTGCCGGGCTCAACTTCCGAGCAAAGGGGACAGTGTATTTCTGAGGATAGAGGGAGTTAGGCTCTGTGGATTTCGACATGATGGAGATTGGTGAATTGAAAGGGCAAGATTTCCTGGAGAGCCAGGCCAAGAAGCAAACATACAGGGTATAGCGGTGTTGGAGCTGTGTCTGGCTCCCCGCCAGGGTCAGCGTCCCAAGTAAACTCTGTGCCGGGGGGCTTTTTGCCCTTTGGCGCCCCACGACGCGACATAATTGCAATAATAAGACGTCAATTAATATAGGTTAATGAATTTGGGGATCAATTCTCTGATATAACTGCGGACAGATGATAATGACTCCGGAAAAATATATTTCTTCACCGCCCACCCGAAACAGCACTACGGCTGGCAAATTCCCTCAATGCTTCCCCGCGTGGACGCTAAGATAACAAGGCGCAGATCTTTACTTTGTACTCCATACACAATAGCCCATTGAACTTGACATTGTTTTAATTGGACACACTACATAAGAATCAATAAACTATTTCACGTGCTTTTCAAATTTATTGTGACATCATAATCCGGCAGTCACTATCTGAGTACCGCCAGATTGCACGGGTCCCCAGGGACCCTGGTTCACACGCTCTTGTAACGTTCGCATGATATCTTCAAACCCTTCCATCTGGCCATCAGTTTCTTGCAACCGGCTGCGCAGCGCAACAAGGACATCATGTTTCGCAGTAGCAACTTTCCAAACAACACTCTGGGAATCACCTGCACCACCCCCGACGAAGTCTGCGTAAGTGCGAGGTGGCTTGAAAAGATATGGGAGAAGGGTAGTTAGGGCAGGTGGAGTGAGAACTGCCCATGCTCCTGATGTGGGGAAAAACCCGTTAGTGGCCGGGGATAGCTGACCCAGACCCTCTTCGGAGGGCAGCTGGAACCGTGACGGTTTGATGTTGACAGGTGCTGAAGGTGAGGGTTTCCAGTTCGCTGTCGTAATAGCCCTCATAAAAGCGATGGCCGACAAAGCAACATCTTTCATCACTAGCACGTCGGCAGCCCCCACGACATTGTCCCAGAAATTGGGGTTCTGGTTGACATAGAGGAAGTAGAGGATGCGAGCTGCAGCTGCTTCGCGGTCCCAGTCAGTTGGGGTTGAGCCGGATGTGTTCAAGTTCATTGAATCAGAAACTCCTGTTCGCTGAGGCCCGTGGAAAATTTTCGCCAGAACGTCTAGAGCTTCGCCGTTCGGAGGGTTCGTGGGAATTGCGAGAACCGGGTTGGCACCATGTTTGCCCGCTTCTACGAGAAGCACTCGGGGGAGTGAAGCTAAAATAGCAAGGTGACCTGTGGGTACTTCACCATGTGCCCATTGCGCGGTAGGGATGGCGAGAGATCTGTTGATGCGGGAGATAATCCCATCAAGTAGGGTAGAGGGGTTCTGCAACAAGTGGTTGGGATACATCTCGGCGTACCGAGCCACATATGCCATGACTGGGCCCGATAGGTAGAGAAGATCCACCGAGTCCAGCTTGGACTCGTCGAGATAATAGGTCAGTACTTGGGAATGCAGTTTGTATTCGACAAGGAAGTCGAGGGCAGGGGACGAGAAAGTGGAAGTAGACTGCACAGAGCTTCGAGCGACGAGGCCCGGTCCACCGATCTCTAGCAGCTCGCGGAAGAAGTTGAGCAGCGTCATATGCATCAAGACATCGCCCACTTGGACCATATGACAGGTTGCAAAATGCAGGAGACTACTGCTCTGGTATTTAGCCTCGATCTCCGGTACTTGGGCTGTTGAGATGATGTCCCAGCGCAGTTTTCCGGCTTTCACCAAGAGTGTCATTAGTCTGCCCTGTGCGAGCGTTCTTTCGCGTTTAGAAAGACAACCGGGGGCATCACTTTGGAGGCTACATAGCCCGAACAACAGACCGTAGACATCCTTATCGGTGAATACCCTCCTCCACAAGAGCCCCTGTCCTGCATGACTCTCACCACCGGTATGCTCGTATTCTCCATTTTCCAGATGATTAGCAACGTCGACCTCCAAAAGCACCCATAATGTATCGAGTGCAGCCTGTGCGACTTCGCCCGAAGATGTTGAAAGCCATAGCTCTACGAGTGAGGCCACCAAGTCTGAATCACCTGCAACTATGGCAGCTTCACTGTATTTTTGCCCAGCTTTAGCTAATAGTGAGAGAGCTAGGAGATTGATTGGCAGTGATGGGGCTTTGAAGCCAGCGACAAGATTGATCGGAGGATCGACAGATTGGAGATCGGTGAAGCTGAAGTAGGCGGTAGCTCTAATTCCGAGAGTCGTGATAGGCGTAGGGTCTTCTTTCAAGATGGGAAGGAGCTCAGAAATTTGCGATAGAAGAGTGGCAGGGACCACAGGATCGGTGGATTCGACTAGTTGCAACTTCAACCTGTCGATGAGAGGAATGTCCAAGGCGATGGAGGGGTTCTCCTGGACTTGAGCGAGGTGTGATCTCACTGCATCAAATGTCGAAGGAACCGACATCGTGACTTCTTGAAATATTCTTCAGTTTAAAACCAGTCACAGACTTAAAACTGAAATGGACGCCTTTGTGACAGGTGAAGCTGGCCCTTCGCGCCGCCGCCACCGCGGGGAAAGCTCATATCCGCCTCAGGCATCAACTCCAAACCGACCAGACATGACCGCATCAACCAACCGTATCTACTACTCCGTTCCTCACCAGAAGTTCCTCTACATCCCAGGATTGCAACCTACAATCATGGAACCTCCACAGTGTCTAGTTTCTCAGAAGCCATCCGATTCGGGTCTCCATATCCAGCTACACCCACTCGTTCTCCTCACTGTCTCCGATCAAATTACCCGACACGCTGCCCGACAGCAGCACGGGCCGATAATTGGCGGCCTCCTAGGCCAGCAGAATGGACGGGAGATAACGCTTGAGCATGCATTCGAGTGCCCGGTTACTTGCGGACTGAACGATGAGATTATTTTGCCGGCGGCTTGGTTTGAAGAACGTCTTCAGCAGTGTACGCGGAACCCCTCACAAGATCAATTAGTTTGCCCCTAGCGAGTACGAACTGACCATGTAACAGTCAAGGATGTGCACAAAAGCCCCGCTCTCGACCTTGTTGGATGGTGGTCAACCGCGCCATCGGCCGGGCCGAATGACGCCCATCTCCCCCTCCACCGACAAATCCTCCAGGACTATAACGAATCTGCCGTCTTCCTCGCCTTCCATCCCTCACAGCTCCAAGATTCAGGTTCGAATGGCGGCAAGCTTCCCCTGACCGTGTACGAGAGCGTTCATGAAGGCGAGACCGCCCGCGATGCAACCAAAGACATGCAGGTTGATGGCGAGGAGCCGGTGTTGAATATCAAATTCAGGGAGCTGCCCTATTCAGTGGAAACAGGGGAATCAGAGATGATTGGTGTCGATACTATTGTCCAGGCTTCTGGCACCGCTTCTTTGAATGCGACACATGAGACAACCAAGCGTCCGCAGCAGACAGAACAGACAGAGTCAAATAAGCAGGGCTCGCAGGTCGAGCTCTCACAAGAGGAGGAGGAGTGTAAGTTTTCGGAATCTCATCACAACTGCTTGGATGGCTGAAACTGACTGTTTTGAAAAGTAATCGCAAGCCTCAGCACTCGCCTCAATGCCGTTCGCACCCTCGAATCCCGCGTCTCTCTCATCAAATCCTACCTCTCCAGTCTCTCAGAAGCGGATTTTAGCTCAGATCGATCAAAGGACAATACATCCGCCACAAAGCTGTCACACCCAATACTCCGTAACGTCAACTCTCTCCTCTCGCACCTGTCCATCCTCTCTCCGTCAGAGCAAAGCACCTTCACCACCGAGGTACTCTCGCAAAGCAACGACATTCTATTAATATCGCTGCTCGGTCAACTCGGCGACAATGTCAAGGCCATGCGCGAACTGGGCCGCAAATCTGCGGTCGTTCAAAGTGCGCGTCACGTAGCCACCGCGCGCAAGGATCCCTCCATGCTCCAAAGGAGCTTCAACGAGGAGTTCTATCAGGGTGGGCTTGGGGGTCCTGGCAATGGGATGTATTCGTGATAGTAGCCACATGCAGTTCTTGAGTGTTTCCGCGATCAGCACATCAAAATACCCCCACAAATGGCAATATGCTGGATGTTGGGCCTAGGCTTCACTTGCTTTGCTTAGAGAGTGTCCGTTTCTGGGCCCAGTTTAAGACCATTTAGACGAGATAACGAACTTTGATATGATTATTCTTCATTTCTCCTGTCTAATCGGTGACTGTAGAGGTCCCAGACGATAGTATACAAGAAATGTAAACCTACAGCGACGCTAGGAGAATGTGCAACGACGGGGATATGATAAGGAAAAAGAATAGAACAAAGCCAAAAGCATGTCGCTATGCAAACAGGCGGGTATCCATACCTATCCAAACAACGGGACATAAAAAGAAATGTATAAGCGCAAAAATCTCGAAGTGCTCGTGGGTAGCGTGAGGTAGAAATGGTAAAATGTTTGCAGCTCAATCATAGGGGAAACATGCATATCAAAGCAAGCCCGGCCAGTCGACTCATAATTGGATCATAGACATGGATCATGAATGACGGTTGCCAGGGTAGGGAGGAGGAGGATGGTAAGGATCCGGCATGGGCATAGGGACTTGCTCACGGAGAGGACCGCTGGAAGGGTAAGGGTGGACCAGCGATTCCGAGTCCAGATTGTCATGACTGTGAAGCGAGGGATGCTCGTAGGGTGACGGGCTTCGCTCGTAAAATCTACTTGACGGGTTTTGGACATGGTCATCCAAGTCCGACGCATACGGCGAGGTGCCCGCGAGCGCAATCTCGGGGTTGGGTTGCGCGTGAGCTAGAAGCACATCGCCCTCTTCGTAGGGCGTGTCGCCATAGCGGCCCGTTCGGCCTGCGGACATGGCCGTTCCAGCGCCATGGTAAGCCGTTCCGTGTTGGGTGAGTTCGCTGCCATTTTGGGGTGGCTGGAGGCCGAGTGACTCGTCTTGCGGCTGGTAACTGGGGTCTAGCATACGACTTTTGCGGCCGACGAACAGCCAGCGGGCACTTCGGCCAATGGCTTTGAGAAGGTCCAATGGGTTCATGGCATCAACCAAGGCCCTTATGCCATACCGTCCACCTTGGTATGCAGATTTGCCGTTGCCGTAGAAATCGGTCACTTCACTTGGCTGGTTGGCAAGGGTGTAAGACTTCCACGAGAAGGCCCAGAGATGGAGTATACCAAATATAGCCATCTCACAGTTGATCATCAACTCCGGGAGCCCAACCTTGAGATCGTTCATGGCCATTTTATCAGTCGCTGCGATAGCGCCCTCGGAGACTAGAAGGTTGATGAGTGTCTAAAGGTAGAAACACACAAGTTAATAACCCACTTTATCAGACGATGCTAAGAAAGACTTACCGACTGCCAGAACGACAGGAAAATGACGAGCTTAATCGACAAGATCTTCAAAAATGGCTGATGTTGCTTGATGTCTTGGCTGGTCTGATGGTAGAACTGGATCAGACAGTACATGGCGATGGTGACAGAGACCGATTCGATGACGATCGTCTATCAATAGGTTAGCGGATTGACAGGGGATGAAGCCCAAGTCTTGGTCACCACTTGGAAACGTACCCAGATATGCGCGAACGCGGGACTCAGCGACGCCTCGCAGTACATTCCGAAAGCCTGTGAGACAACTGCAACGATGGTCATAAGAACGCGCATGAGACAATATTGGAAAACCCCGACCCAGACAATCTGCACAATGATCAGCCCCTAAAACTCAACATGTGCTCCAGTTCAGCATCTTACATTGAACCATGTCAATCCACTTCGCGGGGTTCGCCAGATGCGCTCGCCACCACAACATTTTTGAAGCCAACTCAACGGCCAGAGCCATGGCTTTGGCTGTGTTCCACGGAAGTAATCCTTCTGGCTGTGTAGATCCGGGGCGATATAGTGGCACATGAGGGAGAAGAAGGCGGAGATACAGAACGCTTCGTAGCAGTCACCGAGGACCTTGAAGTAGACGGAGTCACGGTAGAAATATATGCTGAGCCATGCAACGAGGGAATAGACGGGGACCATGAATAGGATGCGGATAATGCTGCGACGGAGACGAGGACCATGTCAGCAATGCTTGTTGACGCTTTAACTGCTACCCTGGAGAAGGGGACTCACTGTCGCTGTTCGATCGGCTTGCTGTAATGTGTGGCATGTAGCATAATGAGGGCCAAAGATACAACACATGCGATGATAGCGCAAGCGCCGCCCACCAGGAGCGCTAGGGCGTGAAATGTAATGCCACCATCCCAAAGCGCGACCTCCTCAACTATTTTCGATCAGTCACTGCAAAGCTATTCAAGGCGGGAGGGGAGGGGCAACACACTCGTTTCGGCTTCTGTGGTATTGCACACTGGCCAGCCCATGATGGCTGGGGTGCTAGGGTGAAAATGGCGAAGAGGACTGTTGAGACGGAGTGAAACCTTTTTTTCTCCTTTATCTTATCCGGATCGACAGGGGAAGACGCCGAATATCAACAAAAAAGGGAATATTGAAGAAGCAACTATCTCCATACGGAGGAGTCGGACAAGCAAAGTATATATTCTCTTGGCTGATTATGCACAGCCTGTCAGGTCTCGAAAATAGGCGGATTTTCTTGGGGATCATCGGCAGCCAAAGGCTTAGTCTTTGAACTATTTTTATTTCTTTGCTCAGGTGGACCCTAACATACATAGTTATGTACTGGATAATGTCTGTAACACTTCAGAAGGCATACTCCGTATTCAAGTTAAAATTTTAGGACCTCTCTAGTCAAGCTCTGGCTCCGAATATCTTATAACTAATACGTACCTACATAGTTAGCCAAGGAGTCTTGGTGGTAATGTTTTGGTCTGTACGGAAATGACGATCATCTCGGTATCTGGCTTAGCTCGAAGATCTGGGGAATCCCACGTCTTCTATCTTCCCCGGCTTCCCCGGCTTCGATAGCACAGATTAAACAGAGCAAAACACGCTGTTGATCATGGAGAGGAAACACTCATCACCAATGGCACCCACTTTCATGGTGTCTGCACCAGGGAAAGTCATTGTCTTCGGTGAACATGCCGCAGTGTATGATAAGCCCGCCATTGCTGCAGCTATCTCTCTCCGATCCTATCTCCTCGTCACTACCCTTTCCAAATCTCGACGTACCGTCCAACTGAATTTCAGGGACATTGGCTTAGACCACACTTGGGAAATTGACACCTTGCCATGGGACGTCTTCCACCAACCTTCCAAAAAACGGTTCTATTACTCTACCGTCGACTCCCTTGACCCCCAATTTCTCGAAGCTATCATGCCACATGCAGAGGCCGTGTCGAGACACCTCCCAGAGAAGCAGCGAAAGATCCACATAAAATCTGCAACCGCATTCCTCTACCTCTTCCTCTCCCTAGGCTCCTCGAAAAGCCCTGGATTTATCTACACTCTTCGATCTACAATTCCTATTGGCGCCGGCCTAGGCAGTAGTGCCAGTGTTTGCGTTTGCTTGAGCACGGCGCTGCTCCTCCAGATACGCGCCCTTGCTGGACCCCATCCTGATCAGCCCGCTGATCAAGCAGAAATGCAGATTGAGCATATCAATCGCTGGGCATTCGTGGGCGAGCTGTGTATACATGGTGACCCTAGTGGGATAGATAATACGGTCTCGGCCGGTGGAAAAGCTGTGATGTTCCAAAGAAACGCCTCTGGACCACCATCTGTCATTCGTCTCACTAAGTTCCCGAAACTACCACTTCTTCTCGTCGATACTCAACAAGAACGATCCACGGCTGTACAGGTGGAAAAGGTGAAAAAACTAAAAACCAATTTCCCTGAAATAACAGAGATGATCTTAGACGGAATTGGCAAGCTTGCAACTTCTGCACTAGGGTTGATCTCATCAGCTGATTTCTTTGCTAACTCCGATGCTCTGGGACATTTGGGTACCTTTATTAGTATAAACCACGGGTTCTTGGTTTCTTTAGGAGTCTCTCATCCCCGTCTAGAGCGTATTCGCGAGCTCGTGGATTATGCGAATATTGGCTGGACAAAACTCACGGGTGCCGGAGGTGGTGGATGTGCTATCACGCTTTTCCGAACTGATATAGAAGATCAAACTACCCAAGAGCTGGAGCAGAAGTTCACTGCAGAAGGATTCAAAACATATGAGACTATCCTAGGCGCCGACGGAGTTGGGGTGCTTTTGCCTGCTGTATTCCGAAGTGGCGATGGAAAGGCTGCAGAAGAGATTGATCAGGAGAAATTTGAAAATGCTGACGGTGTTCAAGGTATCAATGAGCTGGTTGGAGTGGGAGCGCGAGAAAATCGGGAAGGCTGGGAGTTTTGGACCCGAGACGTTTCTCCAAGATGAAACAGACCATCTTCGACCAAATTCTACGTCTCATTCTTACTGCACTACACATCATGTATACAGAAGAAGTGGTAGAATGCATTTACTCTGACCTTGAGTGTGATCCCATGTCGCATGATACACCTACGTATGTAGTAGAAAGTATGAAGGCAGCTACTGTGGCTACAAATAGCTGCGTCTTTTCTCGTAGAAATGACCATCACATCACACCTATACCTTAATTCAAGGTTTCAACTTCGCGAACGATACTCAGGCTACAGCAACTGTGTACATATATGATATGTATAATACAATATAATGTAGCTCTGCGTACCTTTGATTCTTTTCATAGCATTTTGCAGTCGCTAACAGTCTATTGTACATAGCTAATAACAATGGCCCAACTGCAAGGTGCTTTTAACCTTCGAAAGTTCAAGAGCGCCATGAGTCCCCACGACCCCCACGTCCCCATCCACGAGGTCTGGGACCAGAGCGAGGTCCAGGTCCGAATCTTTCTGGACCGATGTCCACAAACTGATCGTCATTTTCGAAAGTAATTCGCCGCATCTCATCGCCACCACGACGTGGGAATGTGCCCTTCCGAATCAGCTCATCAAATTGGTCTAGACGTTTGTCGGCAACGGGACGTGGAACGGGAAGGTAGTACAGCTTGGGTTTTGCATTGGTGGATTCGAACAATTCATCCAGAGGCTTAAAGCCCTGCCCAGGTTGCGACGAAGGTGCGGGAGCCGCAGGAGCCACGTTGGAAGGGCGACGGTCAAACTGCTCAATATCCCGGCGTGGGCCCAAGGGTGGAGTACGATTAAAACCTGATTCACGTCGCCCAGACGGAGCAGAGCCCACCTCGGCGAGGATAGCTGTGGTTCCGTCATCAGACGTCTCATATCTCACTTCCCAACGGGCGGCAGGGCCAGCGCGGTCTCGGGATTTCTCTTCTATCTGAATCCATTCCTGGATCTTCTCGTCAGGGATAAAATCTGCTCGGAGATTCTTGCGGTTGCGCTCGTTGGGCCATACAGTCCCATGGACGGCAGAACGAACCCGCGAGGCTGCTGCGACACTAGTGAAACTCACGAAACAGTGGGTTTTGATAGCATCGAGGTAGAAGTCAATGATAGCATCGGAATCCGTGGTTCCGGGGGCGCATGCGAGGCTGGCCAGGTGTTTGCGAAGGGCAGTCGGCTGGAGTGGCCGCATGAGGCCGTCGATATAGAGGGCTGAAGTTGCAGCGTGCAACGCGGGGGGAATGTCTGCATCCTGCATGGTGATGTCGCGGGGGGGAGAGGCGGGTTGGGTGGATGCACCGGCAGGTGCAAATAGGTTGCGGAATCGAGCGTCTTGTTTGGTGGAGGTTTTGTGCGAGTCTGTTTGCGTCTCAATGGGTTGTTTGTCTGCGTGGTCCTCCGCTGCTTTTTGGTCTTCAGACTTTAAATTGCTGGGCCCCTCATCGCGAGAAACAGACACCTCATCGTCTTTCAGCAACACGCGTGGGGTTGTTTCCTTTGCGCGAGCCTTCCTATTCGCAATCTCTTCTAGAGTAGGAGCCGGGCTCTGGCTGCGGCGTTTCCGTTTGCGTGTATCCTCCAATGCCTCTTCCACCGGAAGAGGTGTCGATAACCCGGTGTCAACCTCAGAGGTTTGGGCAGCAGAGATCAACTTTTCTTGAGCCTTTATGGGATCCTCCTTGTTCGCATCTTGGGCTGCTTCATCCATTTGCGGCTGGGAAGGTGCAGCTGCAGATTCTTGATCTTCAGGGGTAATTGTCTCTGTTTGTGGCTCCTCCGCAGGCTTTGCGACATCTTCAACTTTCTGCGAATTTACATCGGCTGCCGAAACTGCTTCTCCTTGGGTCGACTCATCTGCCTGCGTTTGTCCATCTTGAGCTGGATCCGATATTGGGACAGGTGCTGTTGTTTCCTCGGATTGTGAAATTGCTTCTTCCTTTGGTTCTTCATGCTGTTCATTCTCTGATCGTTCGGGCTGCGACTTCGGCTGCGAAGCAGCATCTGGCGCAGATGGCTGCGATTCGGTGGATTCTTCTGCGGGAGCCGCTGGTTCGGTCGTAACCTGGTTTGTTTGTGAGTCAAGTTCGATCAATTTGTCAATGAAATGCTGCTTGAGGCGGAGGCCAGTCTGAGGGATGCCGCGCTTCTTGCACTCGGCTTTCAAATCAGCCACTTTCAATGACGAGTAGTCACTCATGATGACAAATTCTCCACATCAAAGGTCAATGTAAAAAGCGAAGTTTGAATGAGACGAGGTCAATTGCTCATATCAGAAAGAATAAAACAATTGGTTGGAGCGCAGGGATTGAATCTGGGGACGCGATGGAAATGCGCGCCGATGATGTAGGACGCTAGCCACATCTGGACTAGCCTCACTCTTGTCTGAGCAATCCATGGCATGCAACCGGACACTACAACGTATACGTGCCCATCTCTTCAACAATTCAAGTAAATTGAGTGAAAAAAAAATAAGATCTATTTGAGAGAATTCGAAGAAATTTTAAATAGTTCGTCTTGTTCAAGCACATAAATTAACTATCTATAGCACTCCACCGGAGGCTTGATAAATCAGATGCGGCTGAGGTAAACTAGCATTGCTACAATCTATAGCTATCAATCCATGGATGGTCATATGTAGGTAGCATTGTCCGCAACTGCGCCCATGTGGTCAAGATTATATATATACAATAAGTGAAGATGTAGCAATGCCATGACTATCACCCCGGGAAAAAGGACATTGATGCCAGGCGGAAGGAAAGGAGCTGTCTACAAGTGGGAGAACGGCTTTGATTGCGGTCTTAGCTCGGGACCAGTACTTGGAACACATTGTACATTAATCGCTTTGAATGAAGTCATGATGGTAACTTCTACCACCTTTATTACTACCCTCTTCGTATACTTCTTTTAGAAGATTGTCATCCTAGTAAGCAGTTGGAGTGAAACACTGACTTGGAAAGGTAGTCAACATAGATATATTCACAATGATCTAGTCATTCGACAAGAGTGCTTCTAATCTATAATGCCCGCTGGCAGCAAAGCCACATAGTCCAATGGCGCCGGCTCAGTGCCGTTAGGCATACCGACAATCTTCAAAGTATCACCCTTGTGAACTTTGACACCCCGGAACTTGATACGGATCGCCGAATGGCCATCTAAATAAATAGAAGGCGTGTGGCTAAAGGTATCCTCACTATTGCCGATCCAGTGGCCGATTTCCTGATTATTCAGATAGACCTTCCACTGTGACTGGCCACCGTATACATCGTAGTAATTCACTACGAGGTCATAAGTTCCAGAGGGAAAGTTTAATTTGGTCGAAGCAGTGCCGGCTGTACTGTTGGAAGTTGTAACAATTGCAACCGAACCAGAGGCTGTTTCGAAGGGGCTGACGGTGTAAGTTTTGTAGTTCTCTAGCTTCATATCTTCCGCTTCGATGCGCCATGGGTGATGGCCGACGCGCTTGGCCTGGTCAGGGATTCCAGAAAGATTGTGATAGAAGTTGTTGATCGCATCTCTCCACACAATGGAGTGGCCGCTCTGGTAATCTAGGAAGTGGCGAACATGGTTGTATCGCTCAGTATCGATTTTTCCCTCAAGTGATTCCCACTGCGTAAGGAAGGTCTGTGCAGTTTCGGCCCCGCTGTAGTGTTCGTCGTAGAAGTGCTGAATAACCGTCTTTCCCGAGTGCAGACGATGAGTGTATTTCACATGGTGGAACCATAGTAGAAGATCGTCCGGTGTGGTGTCGATATTCTCATACATAGCAGCGATTTCATCCGGATACTGGCCCGAAAAGCCTGTGCCATTTGCCACCGTCCGGTCCATTCCAATGCTGTCCTGGTCTGCGCGGGTCCATTGGCCCCAGCCATTGTTGTCTTGGGATGCAGGGCTGGGACCATAGTGAGTGTATATAATATCTGTCAATGTCTGGATGCCCAAGTTCCCGCTATACTGTTCGTAGGCGGGCCAAGATTCCATGGACATGCGAGTGATTGTATCAAGTACCTTGCGGTCCAGTCCAAACGTCAGTCTGATCCAGTCTTGCAGAATATCCTGGGCATCGTCTGCTGGGTTCCAAGCCAAGCGACCATAGGCATATAGGTTTGACATAGATAGGTGGCTACCAAGCCAGGTGGTGTTTGTGCCCACATTGACGACAGCTGCTGATCCGCCCAATTTGCGATTGAACCGTTTACCAGCCACGATATCGCGAACGAGCGATGGCTGGTGGTCGACGCGGAGGTCAGAGTCTAAGATTGTCTTCCAAAGGGGAGCAACATAGACCAAATGCGACTGTTGCCCAAGGTATTCTTGCGTAACCTGCAGTTCAATGGCCATACTGGTGTTGAACAAATTTGCAAACAGCGCCGATGCTGGCTCACGAACCTGGAAATCAATAGGCCCGTACTTGATCTGGATCACCACGTTGTCGTCGAACTCGCCATCTAGATCCTTGAAAAAATCCACAGCAGCCTTCGCACGATCATTCGTCCAGATTGATTCGTTCAGCTTATTGTAGACAAACGCGCGATACATAACAATGCCACCGTAGGGCTGGACCTCTTTGGCAAAAAGGTTTGCTGCATCTGCGAGGGTCCTGTTATATGTCTGGGGGCCTGGCTGTCCCTCCGAGTCAGCCTTGACGAGGTAGCCAGCCATGTCAGGAACTCGGTCATAGACCTGGGTCGTAATATTCGACCACCACTCGATGACAGATGCATCGAGGGGATCGAAAGTGTTGAGCCCTCCATAAGTCTGAGGGGATGCGAAATTGAGCGACAGGCCAACTTGTATACCGTATGGACGGAAGACATCAGCAATCCGAGCCACCCCATCGAGGTTTGTGGGACTCAAGAGGGTAGCATTCGCATTGACATTGTTGATGACAATAGCATTGATTCTGATCGAGGCCAAAAGGCGGGCGTATTCAGCAACACGGGTTAGGTCGTCGATGATTTGACCGTCCTTGAAGAAGATAGAGGGGCCACCGTAGCCGCGTTCGATTCTTCCATCCATGTCATCCCATTGGTTTACCCAGCGGATAGGCGCAGAAGGATTGGTTGCATAGGCGACCTTGGTGAGGTTTCCCTGAGCAAGCATCGACAAGTATTCAAAGGCGCCATAGAGAGCACCCCTCTCGTTTTGTCCAAGAATTTGAACGCTTTCCCCTTCCGTGTTGAGCCAAAAGCCATCTTCTTCCAGTTCAGGTACACCTGTCACAGCGCCACAGATTTCCCGATATTGATCGACTGTGCCAACAACAACCGAGGAAAGTGTCTTGCACTTGTTGTGTTTGACTCGCACCCTCTTTCCATAAACACCCTTCAGACCATTTTGCAACTCCGTTCCCGCAATATACACCGGACTTGTCTCAGTCGCATTGAGAGCGACGACACTCGAAGGGAGGTTGGAATGGCATTGACCTGAACATGGTAATGATGCGTACCGCAGCCAGCCATTGAGGCCGTTCTCAGCGGCTGCAAAGCCCAAGGAGGCAAAGAATAGGACTGCACGCATCGTAGCCAGAGTTTCTGGTCTGGGGGCATATACCTGCTCACTCACTGCAGATCAAGTTCCCCCCTTTATATGAGCTGCCCGCAAACATCGGGAGACTCGCCGGTGGCACATAGTTCTCGGCAAAACTTCAGGCTAAATGAGTGATCTGAGAAAGCCAAGAAATACAGGCTATATGTACCTAGAGTGCTTCCCCGCAAAGATTGCGGAGTTGCGTGGGGGTTGATTTGGCACGGACATCAAAGCTGATTTGAGAGCCACCGAGAAAGAGTATTAGCCAGTCCCAGCTCCGCTAGACTTGAAAAAGCTCCATAAGACTCATAGACTCCCGGGGCCAACAAATTGAATTACCTAATCGGGACTGTTCGAGATTTTATAGTTGTAAGTATCGTTCGGGCAGGAATTTAGGGAGTCAGTTGAAATGTCGAGTCTCTCCGAGCTCAGACTTACAATTTAACCGGGTCTTTTTTGTCTGCCCAAGCTGCAAGCACTATTGTGACAGTACGGCCCTGCTGGTTACTCCAGCCCTGGTGGTGAGTGTGGCTTATGGCTAGTATGTAGCCAAAAGGAGATTGAGATCAGCGCCACAAAGCCCTATATGGACTAGACAAGGCCTAATTGGACATGGACGGGCAGACTCATGATATGAAATAAATTTTAGGTATTACATTTTAGGCTATTTCTAGGAAACGGCTGAGTCCGAAGACGATCGCATTTAGCAAAGTGCTCGAAGCATCTTGGCACAATTGTCTAGAATATGCCGAGTTTGCAAGATCCGTAATTCATCATTATTCATGAGAATTTTTTGTTCAAGAATGGTTCAAGATTCTATTTTTTGTTTATGGCTCGCAACAGGGCGACACGCTTAAGCCTCACGGCTCAGGATGTCGGAGTCACCGGCATCGAGGATAGCCATGGCGGAGCAGCGGAAGAGCTTACCGCAAGCGGTACCGAGCTCAATCTATAGGGCGAGTTAGTCCAATTCGCTCTCCGGGACGCCTTGCGGTGATCCCTTCGCTGAGCAACTTCACTCTCCGAAGTGGTAGTTTTGACCACTTCTTCTCTGAGTAGTGTAGCTGACTCCGAGGTGCGCCAGCCAATTTTTCAGGCTGCCGACCCGAAGGAAGGGGGAATGAAACGTACGTTGTTGCCGTTGAAGTGGTGAACGGGGGTCTTGGCGAGCATGGCGTAGTACTCAAGCTCAGACTTGCGCAGAGGAGGGCAGTTGCCGGAGATGAGGACGAGCTTGGCCTTGCCAGAGCGGAGAGTCTTCATGGTGGACTTGGTACCCATGGTAACTGAGAGAAGTCAGCGAATTGCTCAATTGTGCGATCGAAATGACCTGCTTACCCTTGCCAGACTTCATCACAAGCGCAAGGCGCGAGGAGAGGGTGTCACCGGACTTCTTAGTCTTGACCATTTTGAATGTTTTGAGGGGTTGGCTCGTAAGAAGGTTCGTCGGAGATGGTTGGCTACGGAAGAAGAAAAGTTCGCACAGATGAAAATAAGATCAAAGTGTGGGCAAGCCCTAACCGCACGTGACCATTACCGTGTGACTAGATACCGCTTTCCGATGATATTTTCTGCCACCGAGACCGGAAGCCAAGTTATTCCAAGCCTGTGGGGTGTTGACTCACTCCATTTTATTACAAGTACACCCCGTTCTCCATTCCCATTCCATTCTTTTTTCTTCTTTCTGTATTTTGCATATTGCTGTCTTTTTCACAATGGTGGAAACTAGCAGTACCCCTACTGCGCAATATCGTCAGTCTATCCTCCCCATTCTTACCTAATGAACCGCTACTAAATCCCGTAGAGAGAGTCGATTCGCAACCTGAGAACCCTTATGCTCAGTTGATCGAGGATCAATCCATTGTGATCATACCTTCCTTCAAACTTGAATCCGGTGTCACCCTTTACAATGTCCCGGTCGCATACACCACGCGCGGGACACTTGCTCCTAATGGTGATAATGTGTTGGTGATCTGTCACGCTCTTAGTGGCAGTGCCGATGTCGCCGACTGGTGGGGTCCTCTTCTTGGTGGTCCAGGCCAAGCCTTTGATGTCTCTCGCTTCTTCGTGGTCTGCCTCAACAGTTTGGGCAGCCCGTACGGAAGTGCAAGTGCTGTGACTTACAAGGATGGTAAGCCTGAAAATGGCTACTACGGACCTGAGTTCCCCCTAACGACTGTCCGTGATGATGTCAACATCCACAAACTCGTCCTGGATGATCTCGGTGTCAAGCAGATTGCTGCAGTGGTAGGAGGATCCATGGGTGGGATGCTCACCTTGGAATACTCCTTTTTCGGCAAAGACTATGTGCGAGCTATTGTGCCCATTGCGACTTCAGCCCGCCATTCCGCATGGTGCATCAGCTGGGGCGAGGCGCAGCGGCAGAGCATCTACAGTGACCCGAAGTATGACGATGGCTACTATCCATTTAACGACCCGCCATCTACCGGGCTCGGTGCAGCTCGCATGTCAGCACTTCTCACTTACCGCAGTCGCAACTCATTCGAGTCCCGGTTCGGTCGCAATGTACCTGATCCAACCAAGCCGCGGAACATCAACGGCACCGAGAAGCTCCCCACTCCTCCGAACGAGCACTGGGCCATCCACAACGACGGCCACCGTGGCGGAACAACTTCACGCGCGGAGAGCAGACAAGGCTCACCGGCTCCTGTGAACGAGGCCGAGGTCCAGTTCATGGACCCGCAGTTCTCTGGCACCAAAACATTTGCCCCCGAAGTCGACACAAAGCCCAAGCTGACTGCATCCGGCCGTCCTCGTCCACCGACCTACTTCTCTGCACAGTCATATCTTCGTTATCAGGGTGACAAGTTCGTCAAGCGATTCGATGCCAACTGCTACATCGCCATGACCCGCAAACTCGATACGCACGACGTGTCCCGCCGCCGCGGCAATCCTAGCGCCGACACTGAGGATACCGTGCTCGAGGCACTCGGACGCATAGAGCAGCCAGCTCTAGTTCTGGGCATTGAGTCGGATGGTCTATTTACATTTGCGGAGCAACAAGAGATTGCAGATGGCATCCCCGATTCTCGCCTCAAGCGCATCGATAGTCCCGAGGGCCACGACGCGTTCTTGCTTCAATTTGAGCAAGTCAACCGCCACATTGTCGACTTCTTCCATGAAGTCCTACCCGATATCATGGCAAAGTCAGATGCCGATGGTGCCGCTGCTGTGGCCAGAGTCACTAAGCTGACCAAGAGCAGCACCTTCGGTGAGGCCGAGGTGGAGGATATCACCGCTTGGTAAAGCGTTGAAATCAAAAAGTATTGTCAGGCGCAGTTCTTTCTGCAGCCAATCCCATGATCTAGTCTGGGTCCAGAATCCCATACGGGGGTCCGCGACCGGATAGATGTCATGGCGCATCAGGGGAAGTAGGTTGCCGTTCTTTTTTCCGTTCCGCCAGTCAGGGAGATGAGCATCCAACTGCCTCTCCCGTCTCTCACTTGGCCTTTGTCCTTGTCCGAGAAGACTGTCAAAGAAGCATCCAACTGCTCTCCATCAGACCCGCACTCTGGGTCAATTTCTTCCAGGAGGATACTCCGCCGGGGGGTGATGGGTCCGTTTTCGGTATTGATAGCCATTGGTTATCCTTGCGACAAGCACGCATCATTTAAATAGAAAATAAATAGAAAATAAGAGATCTGGACATATTTGACCTTTCCAAGACATCAATGAAGCTCATAAGGTGCCAGTCCCCACGGCAACTTGGCAAAATAAGAGAGTTCAATAGACAACAGGGCTTAGTACTGTAAAAAGATAAGTTGGCCCGAGCTGAATGGTCAGAAACAAGATTAGAGGCTTAGGGTATTTATGAAACGTACTTCTATACGGAGTACTATTTGCAATGTTTTTGTTTAGTCTAAATCGTATTGGTGTGAGCTTTTATCTATCTTAAGATGCCACTGGCCAAAAAAAAGGCCTTGAGTCACACACTAGCATATGCTCTAACTACATATGTACTTGGGCGCTTAAAGCCTTTCAACTAAGTAGGATATAGGCTTGGGTAGTATTTGGGTTGGACGTGAGTGTCTCAGATTTCTATTTTTTAACAAGGATAACTATCGAGTGTCCATTATCTCAGTGGACTAGATATGATCTAACTAGCCCTATCTTTTTTTTGTTTATGCAACTAGCTCTAGTAGCATCACTATCTTTTCCCCTGTTAACTAGCATTAGTCTAAGACTTTTTCTTTTTCTTATCCCCCTTTTAATGTGATTCTGGTCTACATTCCCCTCCCCCCGCATACCAGACTGTTGTGCCGACAACCGTACCTGAACTTGCCCTCAACATCACATAGTTCGGGAAATTGCCTGGATTTGATCTGCAGTAGTGGTTTCAGCTGTGGACTCCCTTCGAATAGTGGCAATTTTCATTGTTTGCCTGCGCTCTTTCCTCCAATATCTCTCTTTGGACCTGTTTCATTGTTCGATTCCTTAAGACCATCGGAGCATAAACACCAAATCCATTTGCGATATGGAGCGCAAACTATCAGAAAAAGCAACCAAAATACGAGACCGTCTGACCTTCACTAGAAGCAGCTCCGCGCGAGGCCTAGAATCAACACTGGTCTCGCCCATTGACGCCAGTCCATCAAGCAGTCGTCCCCGGTCAACGATAGATCTCGAGTCTCCCACTCACGACGTGGGCCACAGCAGGGACCCCCATGACGAAGGGGGATACACTTTCACAGACGAGCCAGGCTACTTCCGCCCTGCATCACCGTTTATCGACCGCCAAGAGATCGAAGAAGACCTTGAAGCTGATATCAAGCATGCATGTGCTATGCTATCTCACAGCATTGACCGTGGAATTCCAACCGGATTGTCCTATCCGAGTGCCGTGCCAGTCTGGACAGATGGACAAAATCCCGCTGGTCAGCCCAGGATCGACGCAGCTCCTTCATCTTTAAAACAGCATGTCATTCTTCTGTCGGCACCCAACCCAATCAATCCCGAAACAGAAAGCACCAAGAGACATGATTCCGGCGTCGGTATGATCTTCAATTCTCCCAGCCAAAGAGGGAGACCATACGACAACAGCGTATCGGGCACAGATACCTCAACACGGTTCTATAACAAACAAGCCTCCGCCTCACCACCACACAGCGCACAACCAGGACCCCGCTCTCGGAGCCAGAGTCTAGCAACAACAGTCGAGGATATCCAAAGGGGGCGGGCCTACTCTTCAAGCCCGGTTCCATTCCCATACAGTCCTCCCCAACTCAGCAGCGAGTGGACATCGAAGCCAACGACGCTCGGCAGCCCAGTCAGCTCGCTCAATGATAGCGAACAAAAGTTCGAAGCCACCGAGTCCGAGCTCGACACAGATCCAGAGACCGAGAGCGCCACCAACACAAATGAGGGCAAACCCGAGACATCCTCTTCAGCCTTATCCCCACAAAAAGCGCCATTTCTCGATCGGACAGGCGGGGCCTGGCGCGCTAGCAGAGACATCCACCTCATCAACGAAGAGAAAACGACAACAACCGGACCCAAGAAGACAAAGCCATTGACCCGCTTCTATAGTTCTTGCTACCAAACGACAGGATCATTCAACTCCTGTGAATGGCCGACGAAGAATTTCTGGGAGGATCGGGACCCGAGTGTTTATGGCACAGTCTCACCAGCTTCACCACTGGGCGTCGGAAGGGGCACGGTATCAAGACCGGAAACAGGTAGCTCGAGATTGGGTAGTGCTTCGACGGATGAGGAGAAGTTGCCTAGCAGATATCCGTACCAGTCGTTTGCCGGGTCCAGCCACGGGATGTCTTACTCGTCTTCTTATTTGGGGGACAAGTGTAAGCACCAAGAGCGTGTTTACTCTGTTGTTATGCCCGGTTCGCTGCCTAAAAATAACCGGCGAAAGAAGGCTTCGCTTCTGTTGAGGAAGTTGGCTGGGCTGGGGAGGAGGAAGGAGAATGGCAATGGGAATGAGGTTTGCTGATAGGAGCAGGTTGTGGGAGTTTGTGGGCGTTTTGAATATGCATTACAGGGATTGGGGCAGTTATTTTTTGATTCCTTTACCTTGGGAGGCTTCATGCTTTTTGAGATAGATGGCTGTTCCGTTCTATGTATGTACATACCCTTTTCCTTTCCTGTTCTCTTACCATTTATCATACCTAGTACTTGGTTCCTGGGGCAGTCGTGTTTTCTTATTTTTCTACTTGCGGCTTCATATTAGCTACTTTCATTTCAAAACGCATCCTCTTCGCCGAAGTATATATATAGGCGTGTCGCTCCTTGGCCCGGAATGTAAGACAAGACCACAGTCTATCTACATAAGCTAAAACACCAGGTCTACTTCATCAAACTACTATATTTTATGAATTCACAATGAATAAAAAATTGGAAATTCATCCGGGATACCGAAACAATGTTGAATCAAAGACACCCTCGTGTAACCAGATGCCAAGCCAACCTACCCCATCACAGATAAAAATAACATCAATCGTGAGACATGGTCCTATATAAAGGACAGAACACAGACAAAGCTCCAATCACAGCCCTACAGACCAAGCCAGAACCTCGTCTTGCCAACCTCAAACTCGCCATGCAGCTCCTCAGCCCCAGTGCCCGTAACAAGAACCTGGTACGCCCCCTTTTCAGAGATCCACTGCTCCCGCTCCTCATCCCACCAGCTGGTAGCCAACTTCTTCTCAACAACCAACTGCACAGTCTTAGTCTCGCCGGGCTGCAGGAAAACCTTCTGGAAAGCCTTAAGCTCGCGCACAGGACGGCCAACATCAGTTTTCGGGGGCACGATCCAGAGCTGCACGATCTCGGCACCAGCCACAGAGCCCGTGTTGGAGACGGTCACTGACGCAGTGACGGGCTCACCAGCCTCAGTGTACTTGGTCTGTTCAGGAACAGTGTCGATGCGTAAATCTGAGCGTGAGAAAGTAGTGTACGACAGACCATGCCCGAAAGCGAACCCGGGAGCCACATCGCTCTTCTCGAAGTAGCGGTAGCCAACGTAGATATCCTCGCCGTAGAGGACGCGGCCGCGCTCGGATCGGAAGTTCAGGTAGGAGGGGTTATCCTGCAGGCGGCGGGGGAATGTGATTGGTAGCTTGGCAGAGGGATTCACGTCGCCGTACAGGACATCCGCGATACCGTTGCCGCACTCATTGCCGCCGAACCAGGCTTGTACGAGGGATTTGGCGTTGTCTGCCCACGGCATTGTGACTGGAGTGCCGGACTGGATCACGACAACTGCGTTAGGGTTCACCTCTAGCACACGGCTGATCAGCTCGTCGCTGCCAGGCGGTAGGTCCATATGTTCACGGTCGTGGCCTTCGGTCTCCCATTCCAGGGTGAGACCGGCAAAGATGACGACCTGCTCGGCGGCTTCGGCTTGTTCGACTGCGTTGGCGATCAGTTCCTCTTGGCTCACTTGTCGACTGGCGCCGAAACGGAAGCCACCTGGCCCGAAGGCGACAATTCCGCGTGTGTCTAGGTCTGACGTTGGTGCGCTGCCGAACTGGAAGAGAACCTGATATGTTTGACCGGCCTTGAGCTCTTTAGTGCCGATCTCTTCGATGGTGGCTGTGCCAAAGAAGGCGGAGCCTTGCTTCTGGTTCTTGGTGTTGTCGACGACCACTTCGCCGTCGATGAGGAGCTGGCCTGTACCGACGACTGTCACGCCGAAGTTGTAAACTCCGCTCTCCTCGGGGGTGAATGTTCCCTCCATATCGACGTAGTAGGTCATAGACTTAACCTTAGGGTTGACATAGTCCATCAGGAATCCGGAGGATTCGAGTAGATGCAACTCGTCCACGGCCTGTCGATCCTCGCCAGAGTTTGGGTGTTCATTGTAGACTTTGAATGTGAAGCCAGGCTTGCCATCTGCAGTCTTCAGCAGTGGACCCAGAAGCGGTAGATCCTTGTGGGAGTACACGCCTTGGCTGTACTTGACCTCTCCATTGCTCTTGGCTGAGACGCCATCGAAGGGGGTGACAGTGTAGTATGGGGCTAAAGAGGCCGAGCCGCCACCACAATACGCAGCAATCTTAGCGTTGGGTCCAATGACCAGCAGAGACCCATCTTTCTTAAGGGGAAGAATATCACCCTCATTCTTCATAAGCACGACGGACTCTGCAGCAGCGCGGCGCATCAGAGCCTGGTCTTCTGGCCGATTGAGAGCCTTCTCGGGTGCTCCCTCGGGAATGCCCAGGGGTTCAACCCAGTTCACCAGGTTGAGAATATTGCGCACTCGTTCATCGAGCTGGTATTGGGCCACCTTGTTTGACGAGACGGCGTGCGCAAGAGCCTCACCACGCCAGCGGGTCTTACCGGGCATCTCGATGTCGAGACCGGCGATTATGGCATCAGAGGTACTGTAGGTGCCAAACCTACAAACGGAAATCCAATGTAAGCCTCCAATAAACATCAATTTGGCAAAATGAATTCATCATCGGTACTCACCAGTCACTCATAACAACACCCTCCCAACCCCACTCCTTGCGCAAGATATCATCGATAATAGCCTTATTCTCACTAACATGGGTCCCATTAACCTTATTATAAGCAGTCATAACACACTGCGAGCGACAAATCCGCATAGCCAACTGGAACGGCATCAGGTAAATCTCACGCAGAGCTCGGTTAGTAAGAATACTGCTGACAGCCAACCGCTCATGCTCCTGATCATTGCAGACAAAGTGCTTAAGTGTAGCAGCAACACCCTTCTCCTGCATTGCCTTGCAGAAGTAGCCAGCTAGAGTACCGGAGAGAACACCATCCTCCGAGAAGGACTCGAAGCCACGCCCGCCTAGCGGCGATCGCTGGGTGTTGATAGTTGGGCCTAGCACGACGTGTGTGCCTTTCGCGATCGCTTCTTCACCCATCAAGGCGCCGACCTCCGATAGCAGCTCGGTATCCCAGGTTGCGCCGAGCGCTGTTGCGCAGGGGAAGCATGCTGCTGGGATACCGTTAAAGAAGCGAGTGCCACGGACGCCATTTGGGCCGTCTGACATACGTAGCGCAGGGATTTTTAGGCGTGGGACCGATTCTGTGTGCCAGAAGTCTCGACCTAGTGGGATGAGGTTAGTTTTGGGATTCCATCTCTGGCAAATGGAAATCAGATTTACCAGCTGTGAGGGCCACTTTCTCGCCGAGGGTGAGCTCCTCAATGGCTTTTTCAACGTCAATTCGAGCCATGATGTAACGCTGTTCTCCTTTTGGGTGTATATTATCTGTTCTTGCTCTTGTTCAATCGCTTCAAGACAAAATGAAGCTGTTCAATATTGAACTTGAGGTTATCGATCTCACAAAAATAGAGAAAATCAACTTTTTATACCCAAAGGAGAGTCACAGGCTTTTTCCAATTGTATGAGGTGTCCGATTGTGAAATGAACCCGTGTAGGCGGGGAAGCTATGGAGTAGTGTCCAATGACGATGACTATATGAGATCAGGATTTAGTTAAGCAAATGATATTCCAAGATATATTCCAAGATGTTCAATGGATAATCCACTTGCTATCTCAAAGGGCCACGGAGCTGGTTGCGAGACCGAAGTTTACCCGACAGGGCGGGGCAGAGGTGTCGGATGTCGGACCGACAAGCCTGGAGAGTAACGTACATATGGAGTACGGAGCAATACATAAATTAATATTATGGAAGATCCTTGGATATTGCATTTCTGTTACGTTCATTTAGAAGGAAAAGAAGAAAAAAGTACATATGAAGAAGTGAAGTGGTTTGTCCCCAAACACCAGGCAAAATGCAAAGACAAGATAGGAAACAGTAGACAGTCCAATGTAGGGGGAACTTGAGGTTGCAGCAAAGAAAACATAAAAAAAAGCAAAGGTCCCATCACTCCTTTCAATAGGGTATCGTGGTGAAAGGTGAAAATCACGCTCCTCGACGAGGACGCTTGTTATCATTTCCCATCCTCATGCCGCGTCCACCGTCAGTGCCATCGTCAGGACCCTGTCGACCACGCTTGCGGTGCCCAGAGCCTCCAGAGCCGCCGCCACCCTCGCGCTGGTGATCCCGGTCACGTCGGTCGCCACGGCGCTCGCGTTCGCGATCCCGGTTATCGGACCGGCTACCCCGGTCGCCAGAATTGAAACGACGCTCGTTTCCGTCCGGCATAGGGGGAGGTGGAGGAGGAGGGGGTGGTGGCGGTGCATCCATGGAGGACGGGGGCCGCAAACGGCCTTCAGCCTCATGGGTCTCAGTGTTACTAGGTGTCGGTCCGCTCATTTCCGACGGTCCATCCTGGCGGTCACGTCGGTCTCGACGTCGCATCTCTTCGCGTGAGCTCTGAACCCGGCGCAGGGTCTCACGGGGCTCGCCAGCGCTCTTCTCGTCGCGGCTTCCACCACCTCCCACATCGCTTCGACGACTGCGTTCCCGGTCATTTCGACGGCCATCGCGTCGATTGCGACCACTACTGCTGCCATCACGGCGCTCAGGTTCTTTCTCGCGAGTAGACTCCATTTCACGGCTGCGATTGCCAGTTGGTCCGGAGCGGCCCGCCTCGGGAACGATATCATCAATCAGGTCACCACCTCGGCCACCGTTGGGACGGTTGCGGCCTAGGTCTTCTTGGGGTCCTGCAGGGCCCATGGGTGGTCGGTTTGCAGGCTGAGGGGAGGGTGCTTCCATGGTGCTTGATGGGCGATTGGCGCCTCTTCCGCGAACAGGCGGTGGGTTCCCACCCCGGTCACCACCGCCACCACCAGACTGCTGGAGCATGTTATTGAGGCCTGCGAAACGTTTATCGCCACGGCCACGCTCTCCACTGAAGCCTTGTCCAGGCGGTCCAGACTGCCCAGACTGCCCAGAGGGTCCTCGGGGTGGTTGCTGTGGGCCTAATCCGCGAGGACCCGAGGGAGCAGCAGCGGGGGCTAAAGGTTCATTGACAAGATTCCGGAGGCGATCCGGGTGGATCCCTGGGGCACTACTCGAGCCCACGGGTTGCGTTGGGACAGCGGGTTG